GGATTTGCCCTGTAGGCTATTTGATCGTCTCATACCAGATCTGATGTACATATGTAAATAAAGCAACTTACGCTTAAAATGTACCAGATTCTGCAACGCTGATTTCTCTTCCATTGGGAAGCTAGACTGCAAGATTCCAGTGTCTGTCACCACTCAGTGGTCTTCCGGGGGTACATCAACTAATCTAGATATTTGCCTAGTTCTACAACAGGCTACATAAAAAGCACTAGCAAAGTCAGTACAGACAAACATTTCATACAGACAATGACTTGTTTATACTGCTCTATATGCTATACACTGAAATGTAAGTACAAGATTTATATTCCAATTGAGTTATTTTATAATTATATGGTAAAAATGAGAATCTAGCCTGTAAAATGGGATGTGTATTATTATTATATTGATAATTATGGCAAACCCTAAGTTAATAGTTAAAACAAAACATGTACATATAGAGCCAAATTCCACTGTCAGCTGTACTGATGTAATTGAGAGCAGAATGGTATAATACTGTGCCGAGATAGTTGTTCTTCCACAACACAATGTAAAGCATACCTAAGGAATGCACCTAGCATATAAAATATTAGACAAGCTTCATAAACTCTCAGAGAGCTTCCATCTCCTCTCCCGGCTCAGTGACACCCACAGAAGAAGGCTTTATGGGAAGAAATCTGCATGAAGATCCCCTTACAGAGATCTCCCACACCATGGGCTGGGATTTGCTCCATGTGGAGAAAGCCTCAGGACCCACACCGCAATTTGGCAGAGCCCAGAGGCCAGCTCCTTCTGTGTGGAGGCCCTGATCCCTCACTGCAGCCATGCTACCAAGCATTCCCCCTATCATGGCTGTCCCCAGGACCAGAGAAGAAGGCACCCAGGAAAAGACAATGCAGTCCCAGACTGTATTCTCGTTGCTCGGCAGGACTGGCTCTAGGCACCAGCAAAGCAAGCACGTGCTTGGGGTGGCACAATTACAGGGGCAGCATTCCGGCCATTCTTTGTTTTTTTTTGCTTTGGCAGTTGCACTCTCTGAGTCTTTTTTTTTTTCTTGGGGCGGCAAAAAACCTAGAACCGGCCCTGTTTCTCGGTGAGCCCTGCAGAACTGGCAGGTGCAATGTGCAATCACTAGTCCCAATGCCAGTCTGCCTGATGTGATAGATCTAAGAAAACCTCTTACAATGTCAGTTTCCCCCCTCAGCACTGCTCAGATTTGAAGAGGCAGAGCTCACATGTCCGAATATGCTAAATTAAACAAGCCTAAGGCCTGGTCTACACTAGGCGTTTATGTCGAAGT